CCATTCTCGTCGCTGCCACCTTGAGTAGGTTGATAGTCACCTCCACTCGTCCATGCTTCCAGTGAGCCTCGGCTGGACCCACTTCCCAGTGTATTGCGAAGGCCTTACGGCCGGTGCCGCCGACCCTGAATGGCGACGACGACGACGACGACGAGCGCTCTTGGGGGCCTCTTGGGGGTAGTTTGTGGGCCTCTTGGGAAGCTCTGAGGGGCCGCTTGGAAGCCTCGTGGGGGCCTCTTGGGGCTTCCTGGGGGTCTCTTGGAGGGGGCCTGGGACGTTTTGGAGGCTTCTTGGACGGTCTTGGGACTATCTTGGACGTTTTCGGCCGATCTTTGGGCCACTCGGGGCCGTCTCGGGGGCCATCTTGGGCATTCGGACCTCATTTGGAGTGTTTTCGATGTTTCTAGGCCGCCCGAGGAAAAACGAATCTGCCCCCCCCCCACCCCCCACCCCACCCCCTCCAGGACCACCCCTGGGACCCCCCCCCCCGGACCGCGCCCCCCCCCTGGGGAAGGGATCAAAGGGAAGGGGCTTCCCTTCGACTCGATTACGACACTGCTAGATTTTTCTCTCGCTCACGAGCTTGAGAAGGAAGCTGCAGGGAAAGGGGACGACGGAGGCGACGACCGACGGAGACGACGACTCGAACAGCCAAGCCCCTCGCACACGCCGACAGGGTCGGCGGATTCCGTGACTTGAAGCCCATTCGTGCAGCTGTTTGTATCGATATGCTCCGGCAGGGTCAGTGCGAATCTGAAGTGGTCTTCCGAAGTATCTGGCCTAATCATTGACGAATGTCTCCCAGACGACAGCTGCTGATGCCTCTCCCGTGTTCCCTTTGTTGGGGGCCGTATAGTGGATGACTGGTGCCGACTTGGCAGATCCCTCGTCGATCATCAGAGTGCCCCTCGCACGGGTCTCAGTCACAGGACGAATCCAATCAAAGCCATCCATCTGCAGAACATCGAGAGGTTCGGCTTCGATTCCCGCGGCCACTGGCATGGGGTGACGGCGGGTGGTAGCCTCACAAATACTGCACTTCAACTTCTCGGCGAGCGCTGTCACCCAGGGCTGCGCGCCCTTGCGAGTCAAGTAGGCCCTCATGGCGTTGACGCATCAGCTCCTTCTGTACCAGGTCTATCACTTTGGGGTCCACCTTGTCCAACTCCTCCTTTTCGATCTCTGAGTCCTCCATCTCGGCGATCTCCTCCTGTGCGAACGCCGTCTGCACCTCGAAGAAGTTGAAGTTATCCTCCTGCATGATCGTAGCAGCCCACTTGCGGCACATGTTGAGGGGGTACCTGGCCGTCTCGCCTACGTTGACCTGGCCTGTCTCGATGATGGTGTGGTCGTGATCGCGCGTGCACCTCCTCCTGAGTCGGTCTGCCAGCACCTGGTTCGTGGTCACGATGCGCCAGCCCTTCCTGATGAGTTCTCCTGTGACCTTGCTCTTCATTCCCCAGCCGCACCCATAGCTGATGGACTCGTAGAACTGCTCCCATACGTTGAACAACTCTGGAATGCTCCTCCATGAGCTGGCGGTGAGAGGGTGCTCGATGGAGATCTCGGTGCCGAACTGCCTCCACGCGTAGAGTAGAACCTCCAGCACGTTCCTCATGACTCGACGTCCCCACTTTCTCATCTTCATCAGCTTTTCTTGGGATTCGACGGTGTTGGGCCTGCCGTTCTGCACTGCTGAGAATGGAGTGCATGGAGGTGAAGCATGTGCCCATCGAGGTCGTTCTTGACGGATGTGCTCCTTCGCCTTGTCGACAGATGACTTGCGGTTGAAGTCGAACAAGTTGAACAAGCCCATGCGGGTCACCTTGCCTCCCATAGCTTCCACTTGGCCTCCCAGCGTGCTGTTCGGTGGGACGCACATCTCGAGCAGGTCCGTCCTGTACTTTCTCGTCATCTGGTTGAGCTCCCTGGTGCCCTTCTTGTCGATCTGTGAAGCGGCCAGTAGTGCTTTCTGACGAACTCGTTGGGGGAGCTGTCCTACCACTCGTAGCTTATCTCCCGCCAGGCCCAGTGGCCCAGATGTCGACCAAAGCCCGTGGGTGGGCTGAACTTTTTCGGGCACCCATTCTTGCTGTACTTCATGAGCTGACCGTGAGCATGCCAACGACGTCGAGCTTGAATCCTCATCACCAGTCGCTGCCATCGGTTGAGTCCGGCCTGTCCTGTACTGTGCTTCTCCGGGTCCCTCTCGGGCTCCTGATGGTTGGCCTTCTTGCTGTTGATCTTCTGGATGTTCGAGCCCCTGAGGTCTACCTTCCCGTTGCTTGGGAGCTTCTTGCTGAAGCTGGTCGTCTTCGGAATCTCCGTAGTCGGTCCCTTGGATGTCGGTAGCGTTGAAGGTGTAGGCAGGTGCTCCTTCGAGTTGTTGTTCTCGCTGGTCCTCTTCTTGGTGTGCGCCACGCTCGGTATCTCCCTGATCTCGGCGTCGATCTGGATACCCTGGCCATTGTCCTTGATTAATGCGCTCTCCACCTCGGCGAGCAGGCCACACCACTCCTTCGTGATGTTGCCCGCCATGACTCGTCGCGCTGCTTCCGCTAACGTTCCGTCCCGAGCTGCTTGTCGTGCAGCTGCCTCCCGCTGCTCCTCGATCGTGTCCGGGTCGGTCACTGCATACAGCTCCATGGCCTGACACCTCAGATCCTCGAAGAACGTCTCCGGATCCATGTCCACAGCTGCAGCTGCAGCAGCTGGCTGCGATGGCTGCCCCGATGAGCGCGAGGCCTCCGCGTCTGGCGGGCGACTGCCGCCCACCAGATCCCATTCCTCGAACTCCTCGTCCGAGATCTCGTTGACGCCCGCTGGCTCCCATGGCCCCTGCGGACTGCTCATTACGAAAGCTCCTCCTGGAGCACGCGCTTGACACCAATGGCTCTGGAGGCGGGGGGTAGGATGTTGGGGAATGGCGCACCTGATCTTCGAAACGAACCGCAAACACACCCGAGACTTCCGATGCCGCAGTTTTCCCAGAAGTCCCAAGACCGTATCCGGATTCCGTTTCACGCTCCCGAAGATGATAGTCATAGACTCTATCCAGTACTGGAGGATGGTGATGTTCATGACATGCTCTATCTCGTCCACGAGGATGCTGGTGTTCATGGCATGACCTATCGAGTCCATGATGATGCTTGTGTTCATGACATACCCTATCTAGTTCACCCGATTCGAATAGTTCGCTTTTTATCGTTCTGTAGTTTGTGCCTTTTCGGAGAATTGCAATGGTCCTTGAATTAGGGAGCGAGGCCTTCGTGTTTACCTGACTTCTGAAATTCTGAGGAGGGATCTTGGATATTTCGGGCTCTCTGGGGTATGGAACCTCCTGACAACTGGTGTTTTTTTCCAAATCCGCAGGCGTTGTCCCAACCAGCGGCTGGGCCCCGTCAAAGCACGGGGAGAGCGTAGTGCGAGCTAGACAGCTGCACCACTGGTTCCTCGTGGCCGTCAGCGAAGACCAGGGCGGACCTCTCCTTGATCAAATCCGCTCCAGCCTTCTCCAGATAGTCCAGGCCCAGAAGCATTGGGGACTTCGTCTCGACCAGGTCGAACCACAGCTTGTTGTCGTATTCGACCAGCGCCACCGGATGCTCGAAGCCGAACTTGCCGATGGACTGGCCTTTTTTGCCTCTGTGAAGGTCCGGTGGGCGTCCTGCGCGTACACCTCCGCGTCCTCGGCGTAGGCCCCCAGCGCCTCGAGGTCCTCCTTGTCGACCTCCTGCTCCTCGTAGTGGATGTCCGCCTCGTCTACCTCGTCGGCTTCCTCCTCGAAGTAGCTCGGCTCCTCCTCCACGTCGTCTTCCTGGTAGTTGACCCTGGACCGCTCCCGGCGAGGATCTCGACCTCTTGGAAATCGTACTTCACGACGTCGCGATACCAGGTTGTCCCTCGCTAGCAGGTCCTTGTCGGCCCACGCGTAATTCAGCTTCTCGATGACTGATTCAATATTCCAGTCGTGTAGTCCTGCCACCACCGCGGCCCGCCCGCTTGGGTCCAAGTTCGCATTCGCCAAGAAGATGATACCACGCAGCTCGTCTGGGATGAGATCCAAAGCCTCCAAGTCTGGGCAGATCGCCCGCACGCTCTTCTCTATCTCCTGGTAGGCGTCCTCCTCCTGCTCCGCGTAGAGTCCGATCGTCTGACCAAGCCTCCTCACGCGTGGCCCTGCCGCGTCTTCCGGTCATAGTAGTACGAGAAGACCTTGTCCACCACGTCGCTCGAGGCCTGCTTCCCCAAGCTCCTCTGAAACGCCCTGGTCAAGTTGTCGGGGCCCTTCTCGCCGACGATCGAATCCGTCTCGTCCTCCACTCGCGGTAGTCGCAGGGCCAGCTTCCTGTGCGCGGTGTTCTTCGGCAGCGCCTGAACTAGTCGCGGACCGAGTAGCTTCCTGTCCTCTTCCCTCGTCGAAAGAGTGAGAAGCTCCACCTCGGCCTGGTGCTCGTCCAGCGTCTCCGCCTTGTCGCCCCGCGTAGGAATCCTCTGGAGATCTACGTTCTGGCCCGTGCTCGACGACACCATTTCCCGTCAGGCACTACCAATCTCGCGTCGCTCTCGACTGGGTTTCTCGCCAGAATTCTTGAAATAGTCGATAACGAAGAAATCAATTTCAAATACACGAATGTCGGACATGAGAATGACTCTTTTCCTCGCGGCTAGCGCCAGGGGCTGGTTCACCAGCCGAATCAAATTGCAGTTCGATATGGAAACCGCGCACAGAGAGCTCGAGCACTAAATAGAACTACGGAAAACGGGTCTCCGGCAAGCCTGTAAGGCAACTTCCGAAAACTCGTTCCGAAACCCGATTTCTACGACACCCTCCTCCTCCTCACTCAAATTAGATGCTCTGTCGCCATTTGGCCCCAGGGCTGGCGCGTACAAGCGTATATTGCAAAAAGGAAAGGAGCTCGCGTACATCTCTTATCGCCGCCGTGCCAACCTCATCGCCACCACCACCGCCACCACTCCTCGTGGCCGTCAGCGAAGACCAGGGCGGACCTCTCCTTGATCAAATCCGCTCCAGCCTTCTCCAGGTAGTCCAGGCCCAGAAGCATCGGGGACTTCGCCTCGACCAGGTCGAACCGCAGCTTGTTGTCGTCTTCGACCAGCGCCACCGGATGCTCGAAGCCGAACTTGCCGATGGACCTCGATGATGGTGTCCTGGATGGCTGCGGCCAGGTCGATCCCGATCATGCTCTTCGAGGCTCCCGTGTCGATGATCGCGTAGCCAACCATCTCCTCGTGTACCCAGCCAGCTTGACCGTCCTCGGGAGCGTTGCCCTCATTGCCGTAGTTGTTCTCGACGTCGTCCTCGGCGTCCACGAAGCCCTGGGCGGCCATCTGCATGTTGTTGCCGTCGTTGCCCGTGTTGCCTCGCTTGGGACAGTCCACGGCACGATGAGGTCCCTGGCAGATCAGGCACTTGATGCCCTTGCCCTTACCCTTGGGGGGTCTCCTCTGAGCCTCTGAGCTGGATGTGGCGCTGGTGGCTGCTGTACTGCTCGTCGCTATCCTCCTCGTGGTGCTGGTGGTCGTGGAGCCCTGAGCGCCGCCTTCGCCGTGTTGATCGTCTTCTGATCCTTGAACTGCTTCTCGGGGATCTGGCCGATCCCGATCACTGGAAAGTAGCCGCTCCTATTCTTCGCAGCCTCCGCCAGCAGCCTCTTTGTCTCCGTGAAGGTCCAGTGGGCGTCCTGCGCGTGCACCTCCGCGTCCTCGGCGTAGGCCTCCAGAGCCTCGAGGTCCTCCTTGTCGACCTCCTGCCCCTCGTAGTGGATGTCCGCCTCGTCTACCTCGTCGGCTTCCTCCTCGAAGTAGCTCGGCTCCTCCTCCACGTCGTCTTCCTGGTAGTTGATCCTGGACCGCTCCCGGCGAGGATCTCGACCTCCTGGAAATCGTGCTTCACGACGTCGCGATACCAGGTTGTCCCTCGCTAGCAGGCCTTGTCGGCCCACGCGTACTTCAGCTTCTCGATGACTGATTCAATATTCCAGTCGTGTAGTCCTGCCGCCGCCCTGGCCCGCTCGCTTGGGTCCAAGTTCGCATTCACCAAGCCGATGATGCCACGCAGCTCGTCTGGGATGAGATCCAAATCCTCCAAGTCTGGGCAGATCGCCCGCGCGCTCTTCTCCATCTCCTGGTAGGCGTCCTCCTCATGCTCCGCGTGGAGTCCGATCGTCTGACCAAGCCTCCTCGCGCGTGGTCCTGCCGTCTTCCGGTCATAGTAGTGCGAGAAGACCTTGTCCACCACGTCGCTCGAGGCCTGCTTCCCTAAGCTCCTCTGAAACGCCTTGATCAAGTTGTCGGGGCCCTTCTCGCCGACGATCGAATCCGTCTCGTTCTCCACTCGCGATAGTCGCAGGGCCAGCTTCCTGTGCGTGGTGTTCTTCGGCAGCGCCTGAACTGGTCGCGGACCGAGTAGCTTCCTGTCCTCTTCCCTCGTCGAAAGAGCGAGAAGCTCCACCTCGGCCTGGTACTCGTCCAGCGTCTCCGCCTTGCCGTCCCACGTAGGAATCCTCTGGAGATCTACGTTCTGGCCCGTGCTCGACGACGCCATTCCTCGTCAGGTTCATTGAAACCAAGCTCCGCATTACCTATCTCGCGTCGCTCTCGACGGGGTTACTCGCCAGAGTTTTTGAAATAGTCGATGACAAAGAAATCAATTTCAAATAAACGAATGTCGGAAACTAGAATGACTCTTTTCCTCGCGGCTAGCGCCAGGGGCTGGTTCACCAGCCGAATCAAATTACAGTTCGATATGGAAACCGCGCACAGAGAGCTCGAGCACTAAATAGAAGTACGGAAAACGGGTCTCCGGCAAGCCTGTCAGGCAATTTCCGAAATCTCGTTCCGAAACCCGATTTCTACGACACCCTCCCCCCCCTCACTCAAATAAGATGCTCTGTCGCCGTTTGGCCCCAGGGCTGGCGCGTACAAGCGTATATTGCAAAAAGGAAAGGAGCTCGCGTGCATCTCTTATCGCCGCCGTGCCAACCTCATCGTTGCCACCACCACCGCCCGCAATTGTAGTGGGTAGCGGAGTTGGGAACGATCCCGGCTCGCGATCCACGGAACACGCGCAGAGTGCGAACTCGGCGCTCGTTCGCGCTTCCCTCGCCTCCGCAATGATAGCACCCTCCATTCCCTGAAAAGCCAGTGCTGCTGGCTGTTCTGCAAGCCCGCGGGCAATTCGCCCCGACGAGGCTAACGGGTAACACCAGACCGTGTGAATCCCTGCGGGAGCCCGGCTGCGAGGGCATGGGCAGCTTTTGGTTACGCGCATGTGAGCATCTGCCCGGGGGATCGACACGACGTTTCTCTACTCACTTCGCAGCCGTCCGGTACCGACCGCGGACCGCAGTTTCGTGCGTTGGGCCGCATGACTGGGCCAGTACTCGGGCTCGGGCTGTGCGCGACTGGCTTGCGTCCTAGCGAGCACGCTGCGCGCCCCAAGCGTGTCACTGTTTGTTAGCGTACTTGTTTCACCACCGACAGCATCCATTGCGGGCATCAGCACCGCTACCTTTGCCCCCAGCACCGAGATGGCATTCGTCCCTGTGCAGGTCCGCGCACCATGGCGCCTTCACAGCTACCATCGTGGTGGTGTCTTGCAGAGGAGGATATCCATCCTGGCGTTTTGGGGCAGCATCACCATTCCCTCCGGGATCGCCTTGCGCTGGTTCGCCTGCATGATGCCTGAAGGAGACGGATAGCAAGCCGAAGGCGGTGGCAGGGGAGGCACCACTTCCCGCCACCCGTCATAGTCACCCGAGCGAGAGTCCGTCTGAAATGTCCGCCATTGGGTGCAGGATTTGCTCGCCTGGAGCGCGCTCGCCACCGGCATGGGCAGCGCCCAACAATGCGCTACCAATCTCCTGAACTTCGGTGGCGCCGCCCGCGAGCTCACTCGTGCCATAAACTGCGCGGAGATGACAGATCGAGGACTGGTTAACGGACAGCAAGAAGACGCCGCCCCCTACCTCATCGCGAAACTCGCGACCGAATTTGGATAAGTTGGCTGAGGGTCACGTTTGCAGGCCACCTGCGAGTTCTTGGAGTTTTCGAGGCGCCGTAACGAGACCACCCACGCACTGCTCTCGCGGCGTCTTTCGTTGTGATTCCGAACTACGCATAACGGTGGAGCTGCGATGTCGTGGGAAGGCTGCAGCTGGCTGCTCCTCCGAGCGGTCGGCGTCGCCGCCAGCCAGCTCATGGCGCTACTCCAGCCTTGCGACAGCCGATATGCCGCTACGGAGCCTGAGTTCAACAGGCTGAGGACCATGCTCAGGCGCGTGGGTCGCGCAGTGGAGCATGCGCCGAACAACGTCGCCGGCGCCCTTCGTTCGCCGCCGCCCTTCGGCTCGCGGGCATGGCCAATGACGATGGAATTGGCGCGCGCGCAGCAGACCCTAGGCACTCGCGAGGGCTCGATCCTTGAGCTGCTAGCCCCGCGGAACTCCCCGGCGCCAAAGGTGCCCCAACGTGCGCCGGCAGCTGTCAGCCGAGCGCTGCGCCGCCGCAGGTTGCACATCCTGTCGCCGCGCGGCCGCGCGCAGAGGAAGGGCGGGCGGACTTCGACTTCGCACGTGGCGCCAGTTCCGACGCCGGCTCAGATCTAGGACCGATCGGACAGAAGCTGATCCCCAGCCCAGATCGACGCCCAACTGTTCTGGCAAATGAAACATCATAGGCGTCAGTGGCGACGCCGCGCGAACGAGCCCGCCGGGAATTCCGGATACTCGCCAAGATGAACAAGTGGCACGCGTGCCCTGGCTCTTGCACAATTGAGAGAAGAAGCAGGCGCCTTGTGCCGCGCCAGTGTGCGTCGACTGGGCCTGTCTGAGTGGATCTGTCGGAAAGCGGAGGAATGGGGCATGGTGCGATGACGTCGCAGCGCGCTTTACGAAGGCTCGGGAAGTCGATTACGGGCCCCGGGGCCACGGAGGCAAGGGAAGGGGGGGGTCAAGCTAGGTGCGATCGCGTCAAAATGTGACATTATACACCTCCCTCTCATTTTGTCGGTTTCCAGACGGCCGAAGACAGGCCTCCATGAGGGCTGCGAAGAGGGGGCCTCGCAAGGTGGGCCCCCAGGGCCCCAGGGAGGGAGGGGCGGGGGCGAGCTCGACGAAAATACAAGGGCCCGTGGCGCAGGGGGGCACCCAAGGGAGGGGATGGCGCTCGACGAAAAATTAGGGGGGGGCCCGGCGCGCAGGGACGGCCACAGGCCTTGACCCTCGCTGGGAAGGGGGGCAGGAAGGGGCGAGGGCACCCCGCGGGGGGATGGTTCAGAGCCGGGGCTCGGAGGGGGGGGGGGGGGGGCATGGAGGGCGAACGAACGACCACGGCGAAAAAAAGTGTCCCGGGGGTGCGGGCCGAGGGGGGCGAAGGAACAGGGCGGGGGCGGGGGGGGGGCGAGGGGGCGGACGACGACAGGACAACGAAAATGAAATTTCCGTTGCCCAGGGGGGGGCCCCAGCCTGGGCGGAGAGGGGCTGCCGAGGGGCCCACGGGGGGGGTGGCCCCCGAGGGGCCCACGGGTGCCCAGGGGAGCTGGGTCGCAAGGGGGAGGGGGGGGGGATGGGGGGGGGGCGAGCCCAGGGGAGCTGGGTCTCAGACAGGGAAGGGGGGGTGCGAGGGGGGCGAGCGACGACGCGACGCGACGAGAATAAAGGGTTCCATGGCAAAGGGGAGCTGCCCTGGGAAGCTTGGGCGGAGGGGGCCCCCAAGGGGCCCGCGCGGGGGGGGGGGGGTCAGGGGGGGCGGCGGGCGAAGAGGGGCGGGCGAACGACGACCCGACATGGCGAACATATAAGGCCCCGTGGCCCAGGGGGGGTTGCCCTGGGAAGCCTGGGCGGAGAGGGGCTGCCGAGGGGCCCGCGGGGGGGGGGGGGCCCAGGGGGGCTAGGTCTCAGGGGGGAAGGTGCGGAAGGGCACGGAGGGGGGGCCCAGGGTGGCTGCCCTGGGAAGCCTGGGTGGAGGGGGGCTGCCGAGGTCAGGGGGGGGGGGGGGCGGGCGGGCGGGGGGGCATGGAGGGGTGCGCCAGGGGGGCTGCCCTGGGAAGCCTGGACGGAGGGGGGCTGCCAAGGGGCCCGCGGGGGGGTGGCCCAGGGGGCCTAGGTCTCAGGGGGGGGGGTGCACGCCCAGGGGAGTTGAGTCTCAGGGGGGGAGGGGCGCGAGGGGGGCGAACGACGACGCGACGCGACGAAAATAAAGATGTCCGAGCTCTAGAGCACAGCTGTGCAATATAATAAATGCGCGTACTCTGGCAAGGGTAAAGACAAAGGCAGAGGGTCGCAGATGCAGGCGCTCCTCGCCCGACTGACCGACGACCAGGTCGACGACGCGACTGCGGAGGCAGCGGCAATTGCAAAGGCAAAGGCGCGCGTTCCAGCGGCAGAGGCAAGGGCCGCGAACGTAACTCTCAGGGGCTTGGCGGGCCGTCAACGCGCGGCATCTGCGGCCCGGAGTTCCACGTTAGAGCTGACTGCTCGCGGTTCGGCCCTGGGAGCTCAGGTGCCCCGGGGTGCGGCGCGACCTTCGGGGGCAGCGCCCGCTGCGCCGACTCGGGGCGCATCGGTGGTGCTTTGTGTGCCGGCCCTCTCGCTGGCATTTCAGGAGTTGCTTTTGCGGCCGTCGAAGCTCCCCGCGACCGCAGACGGGGGCCCGCTTATCTCCGGCGCAGCCCGTCACCGAAGACCCCCGGCAGATGCCTGATTCTACCTTCGGCGCATGGTCGGCAGCTTCGCTGGCCGCTGCCCAGAGCCGCGCGTGCGCGGGCGCGTCCGTCATTCCACCTGCCCTTCAGATGTTCAGCATTGCCCGCCGCCCTCGGGGCAACTACTTCCCGTGCTGCCGCCGTTCCAGGGCGCCGCGCCCGCGGCCTCGGAACCGGCCGCTTTGTCTGGCCGTGCGCGCCCGAGAGCTGGCGCCGATCCGTAGGCGGCCGCTCTGCGGGGCCCCCTCGAACTCACCGCTATTGATCAACGGTGCAGCGCGGGGGCCTCCATTCGCCCGGCGGGGCAACTCGCGGTCCCCGACGATCAGCGAGTCGCCGTTTCACGCGTCGGCGGATTCGGCCAGCTGGCCCAATTTCGACAAGGTCAGCTTGGACGGTGAGCCGCGCCCGACAGGCCTCAACGCCGTGACTGCGCGCGCCTCGCCGAGGCACCTGCTGCGACAATCATGAGTGACATCGCGCGCGACCGAGCCCCCGAAATGCCAGCGCGACATCTGCCCCGGCTAATCTCGAGACCGAGCGCAACGCTCGGATGGAACGGCGCCGCGCTCACCGCCATGAACGGGCCCGCAATCTGACGACTTAGTCGCGGCTGGTCCGCCAGCGGCGTAACCGCCGCCTCTTGTTTGAAGACCAACGGGCGGAGTCGGGGATTGAGTGTGTGTGCGCCAAGATAGGACTTCGTGCTCTCCTTCAGCGTGACTAGCAGTTTTATCAGAGCTGCGCCGACGCTAGGGCCGCCGCGAGTCCGCGCAACTTTCAGCTCGAAGGGCCGTCGAAGCCCGACAGCGAGATGACCGGGCGCGGGCGCGAGCGCCCTT